CGGCTCCGGCTGCGGCTGCGGCTGCGGCTGCGGTCTTTGCGCCCCGACATTGTGGAGAAGTCCCCACGGTCGGCGGTCTTGTAGTTGCCCGCGCGGTCGTCGTCGCGGCGGCCGCCGCGGTCGTCATCGCGGCCGCGGCCGCCGCCGTAGCCGCCGCCGCCGCCATAGCCGCCGCCGCCGCCATAGCCGCCGCCGCCGCCATAGCCTCCACCGCCGTACCTGCAGGCGGCAGTGGCTGGGCGGCACTATGCGCTCTTCACCCTCTGCACAACCCAGTACGCGAGGCGCGTCGCATGGTGCGCGTTTCGTGTGGGTGCGTCTCTGTTGTGTCGTTGGCAGGGCTCCGCACCGATCTCCGCCGCCGCCGTACCCGCCGCCGCCGTACCCTCCTCCGCCATAGCCGCCGCCGCCATACCCGCCTAGACGACATGCGATGGAGGTGTCTCGGACATGCCCCGCCTCGGCAAGCGATGAAGTGTTCATCGCCCGCGCCGCCGCCGTACCCGCCGCCTCCCTTGCCCGGCGGCGGGCGGTACTCCTCCGGGTTGACGCCCGCGTCCTTCATCTCGGCACGGATCCGGTCCGACGTCTCAAAGTCGCGCTGGCGCTTGGCGGCGACCCACTGCTCCAGCTTGTCCTCCATCTCTTTCGACAGCGGCGGGAGGCCGCCGCCGCCGCCGCCGCCGCCATCATACCCGCCGCCGCCATACCCGCCGCCGCCATACCCGCCGCCGCCGTACCCGCCGCCGCCATACCCGCCGCCGCCGTACCCTCCTCCGCCGTACCCGCCGCCGTACCCGCCGCCTCCCTTGCCCGGCGGCGGGCGGTACTCCTCCGGGTTGACGCCCGCGTCCTTCATCTCGGCGCGGATCCGGTCCGACGTCTCAAAGTCGCGCTGGCGCTTGGCGGCGACCCACTGCTCCAGCTTGTCCTCCATCTCTTTCGACAGCGGCGGGAGCGACATGATGCGTGCGCCAGCGGTGTCTGGTGCTGATTTTGCACGAGAGGGTGCTCACAAAAGAATACTTCAGCGGTTCACAGCTAGGGAAGAGAGAGAGAGAGAGAGAGAGAGAGAGAGAGAGAGATGCCTTTCGGGGCCCAGAGATAAAACTTCTGTGATGCCATGCGTGACCTAGTAGTGTCCCCAGCTATGGGCGTGTCCACGTTGGAGCCAGGTGTGGTGTGGGCGCGAGAATAGCTCCGCCGTTCATGGAGGCAACCGATGCGAGTCGACTGGTGTGTGTCGTCGTGGTTTCGTATCAAGAATTCTCTCTCTCTCTCGCTAGGGAAGGCCTCTGCGGCAAAGTCAAACCACCCCACCTCACCTACCTACCTACCTACCTACCTCTGGGCTGTGCAGATGCTGATGGAGCCCGGCAACTCAAGGCCCTCAGCGACGACCGACCTGCCCGTGTACCTGCGTGATGTGGGGCGTGTGGATCCGCAGCGAGATCGAGGCTCAGCGATGTATTTGGTTGTCTTGATCTGCCGCCCGCAGTTCCAGTTGGCCTGCATGATCTCGAGCCCGGGTTGACGCCGTCGGCCCGACGCCGCCGGCGTCGTCGGCGGCGGCGAAGGGCGGCGCAGCGCGCGTCGGGGCAGTCGCGAGCTGGAGCCGGGCGCAGCGGCCACTCAGACCGAACGACGGCGCCTCGCCCAGCATCGACCTGCTGAGGCGACAGCGAAAGAATCTGCCAACGGCAACCACTATGCCACCAGAGATCCCATCCCCCGATCTCCCCCCGTCTTGGACTTCCCGCCGGTCCTGAGTGTCCGCGAGCGCGACGCACTGCTGCCGCCCCCAGACTTCAACCTGCCACCCACATGCACCTGTGGCCGAGCCCTGGACGAGCGTCAGAGATATCATAAAGTTAAAGACGCTGTGCAACGCCAATTCTTAATTAAAGTAAGTAAGCGTATTGCAATGTGTGTGGCTCTTACGATTTTGAGGGTGAACGATCTGTGTAAAGTCAGAGATATTGCGAGAATGGTGCGGACTACATTCGTCCTTCCCTTTCTTTTTCATTTGTGCAAGTAGGTTTCTTCAAAAAATCTTTCTTTTTCATTTTACAGAGCTTGTGCTGTCGCTCGCCCGTCCCCGCCGTGCGACGAGGACCGCATACACACGTATATGCCGCTGATCGTTGCATCCGGCCCACAGCACCGCGGGAATGCGAACACGGCGTGGAGATGGGCGGCAGGCACTCTGTTCGGCACGGCTCTCATCCTTGTCCCGCTGCTGTCTTTGTCAAAGATGGATCAAGCGAGGGATTCGAAACCGCGAAGCGCATGGGGGGCACCAAACCCCATGTTGGAGGAAGCGACGAGTAAGGACACTGATCAAATGCTAAAGCAAAACGCACTGGAGAATGAGGCTGCGGAAACGTTGGAGGTTTCACCTGCTAGTTCAACAGACATACTGGAGGAAACGAACCCATATTCATGGTTACCCTCAGCACGAGCAGCAGCGCCGTTGCCGCCCTCTTTGCCCCCGTTTCCACCGCCCAGTCCCTTTCCCGGGCTTCCACCACCCTCCGCGCCGCCACCGTCCTCTCCCACAGGGTGGATGTGGCCTTTCTGAGTCCGTGACTGAGCGGAGGTGACGAGGAACACTTTGTGCTGCGATCCGGAGGGTGGGCTCTCTCAATCGCGTAGAGAGAGCCCACTCCTCCGTGTCAGCCCAGGTGACACACGTCACTGTACAACTCTCTCTCTCTCTCTCTCTCTCTCTCTCTCTCTCTCTCTCACTCGCACTTGCACACTGGGATAACACCCCCTACTCTTGCTTGTACCTAGCACCTCCTTCCCACCGTACTGTATCTACTATGGCACGTCATGACCTCTGGGCTCGCCAAAAGAAATCATCCCTGCTGCTAGGGCCCTTCCAGAATAGCTTAAGCAGATCTCCTCACTTTCTACCGATCAGTTTTTT